GTTTAATGAAAACGCAAAGTTAGGACTCTGTGTTCATTGTGAAACGCAGTGCTGACCCCAGCGTTTTGAATTCTAAACATGGATCTTGGCCTTCGCGTTTGAGCTTTATAACGCGTGTCTCGACTCCGGCGTTTGGGATTTACAACATGAGGCTGGCCCTTGTGTTTAAGCTTTGACATGTGGACCTTGACCTCTGTGTTTCTAGTTTCTTCTCTTAGATTTATGTCAACAACTTGCTTCAGCTGCTAACATTTGCTTTTGACTTTGCAGTGTTCTTCCTGTATGTGTTGCTTTGGCAAGAGCATCATTTTGGGTATATTAGCGGCCCTGACACGAATGAAGTTTTTAGCCTTCATAGCAAAATTTCGTTGTGTACTTTCCCTAACTCGGAGAGAACGAGCATGCTCAGATTCCCACGATGCTCTACTCTCAGAGCTCTGATCACCAACTTAGATTTTGAGACTCCTGCCGGCTATGATCAATTCCCTAAACCGACGTTCATTTTTGGAGATCACATAGCAGCTGATGACCGTCTTATACATGCAGAAGATTCAAAGCTTCTAAGGAGAGTCAATAACCACTTCCTCTTTCTCCCAAATATGAAAAGGATGTATCTGCTCTCCTACTTCTTGAATGTCAGTCGTCGCCGATGTTTAACTTTTGATATAGTCAAGGAGAAAGAAAATGTGTCGCTTGGATTTGGTCGACAAGCTCGCACACAAATTAGGGAACAACTCAAGGGCTTGAGACCCGGCCTATTTGAGAAAAAGGATCTTGCACAAGAAGCACCACTTCCAGCGAATGTCTTCATTCGCCAGTTCATCGCGGCTCATGGTGAATTCTCTGTGCAGACGTTCAGATCCCCAGGATGGGTTTGTTCTGGAGAAGGAGGTTGGTGGACCCGGATGGTGGATTTTGTTATTGAGGAGGTTAAGGAACCGCTCGCTCAATCGGGTGTCATGATCCCGGTGTTAGCTACTCGGTGTGGGATTGTTCAAAGCTATCTAAATTTCTTCGCCATGTTAGAGAGATACAACCCGGACAGCTGCACATTCTTCACACATGTTGGGGGGTTAGGCTTTGCTCTCTATAAGATGCAAGCGGTATATGGGCTATCATTGGGTCGGATGCCCTATGAAGAATTCATCCCCACTACTGAAGAGCTCTCCATTTTAAGGGTGGCACACCCAGAAGTTTACGCTACCTTTTGGGAGCTGATGTGCCACTTCTACATATGTGCTCAGGTTGTTGGGATGTGCGAAGGGGGTCTTATGCATACTGCATGGGTGGACTATCTCTTTCAAAACTTAGGTTAGAAAGATGAGGCCGTGACCCGACTGGCTATCATTTCTCTTAAAGATGCTAAGGCCCGAATTAAGGCTTCTAATGCTACTTACAAGACTGAGCACATGGAAGATGGGTTTGAGGCTGGTGTCAAATTTGAAAGTTTTCACTACCATGCCACAATTCCTATTTCTGATATGGCTCTCCTCGCTGGCTTCTTCATGATCTGGTTGAAGCGGTGTGTAGTACCATCAAAACCAGTCAAGGTGATATTGGCTGAGGTCGTATACCCAGCTATTTTATTAGCTCATGGGAGGCCAGTGAGCCTTCTCACTGCTATGGTAGGTTGCGTACAGAGTGGCTTACAGACGTTGACCTCTGAACTTGTCGGCGCCTGGGGAATTAAGGCTAATGGGAGGAAAGCTGGGAAAACTCTCCAACCACGTGTACCAGTGTTGTATACATACTTAGTGGCCTGGTTCGTGCTACATTACCCTTCGTTGATGACGGGGGTATCTAAAGATGATAACGCTTATATTCCCTTTGTACAGAGGCTGGAGTCGGCCACATGGACTAATGCCTATATAGTTAGGGCTCGACTGCTTTTGTCTCAGGAAGACAAGTATAGAATCTTCTGCTATGCTCTTAACTTTGATAGAGCTGATGAGGAGAGTGCCAGCTTTACAGATGTGTTTTTCGAGGGCTCGTCCTCTTTGGAAGAGGGCACCTTCAGATGGCTTCTCATGATCAGATTAGGCTATCTGGTCTATCGCTTGAGGGAGAAGTGCATTATTGAACCTTACATGCCTTCTCGATTTTCCAGACAATTTGGATATGATCAGCTCTATGTTGGCAATCCTAACCCGGCATTGGCTCAGGTTGGGAACTTGTACGAAGGGGCCCGCGCGTGGTACTTCTTCTCTGCCGGAGGGACTCATGCGTACTTTACCTTACCCAACTCACCGCCTGGCTATTCCACCATTGCGGACTTCCGCGGCTAGTTTAATGAGGCTTCTCAAATCCTGGAATACGATATCTACACTTCATGTATAAGCGAGATTCGGGAATTATAAAAATCGAGAAGCGGTTCCATCAAGACTCATTTACCGGGATAGAAGAGTATCTATCCTGTGTACGAGGAGCGGTCGAAGCTGTCGAAGCCCAAAAGGAGTTGCCCACCATTGAGCCCTCTGAAGAAGAGGTTCCTATGGGGACTGAAGAGGGGTCGTTAATTGTTGACCCTCCTGAAGACAAGGCAGCTGAGGAAGTTCCTGAGGAAGCGCATGCTCTTGAACCTCGCTCCTTAAGATCAGGTAAAAAGGCCATTACTGCTGAAGAGGAAGGCGAATATGATAGGAGAATTTGCAAGAGAAAACCCATCACTGCCAAAAACTCTAAGAGGGCCAAATTGATGGGGATGCAATGAAATCTACACTTGTTGCGCGCGTGGCCGATAGGGAGGATGAAACGCTTCGATCGATTCCTTCCATTTCTGAGGGAGTGAGAGCCGATGAGATATTGCCCATTGAAGGTTTAGAATCCTCTTCTCCTCCTCTCATCAGGACCAGCGTATACATGAAGGCCATCCTTCCGAGGTTATTCCTCCATCTACTCGTAATGAGTATACAGGTCTGATCTATCCAACTGCTCCTCCTCCTCATTCGAGAGCTCTGAGGAAACTAATCAAGGAATTAGAATACTGGATACAGATGACTATTGATGTCGTCAATCTTGGGGGTGCTTTCTTTGAGCATTTTGAACCCATCTTGACTAACTGTTTAGATAAAATCAGGGATAAAGGTGATGTGTCATGGACCAAACATTATAAGGAGAGTGTCATCCTCTTGGAAGCAGAGTTGGCGGCTTTTACGAAGCTACAGTTCATCAATCTGAAATCTGAAGTGGAGCAGGCCTCTCCTTAGCTACAATCTTGAAGATACATCATCAAGAGATTCTTCGCAAGGATTTATCTAATAAAAAGGCTCGCATAACGATCTTAAAGGAGCAGCATACTCAGGTGTATATTGATATAAATAGTATTATTTTTGATATTCGTGTCACTGAAGAAGCCATTGATCGATTAGAGGCCGAGTTGGCCCAGAATAAAGCCTAGTTGGCTCAATATGCGGATGTTAGAAAAAGACTTCAGCTTCAAAGCGACAACATTTTTAAGGATTTTTGCAGCACACTCCACGTATCTGAAGGAATTCAAAGAGAGATTGTTGTTGCAGCCCCTGCTGAAGCAGAACTCTGAAAGGTGATTGAAGAACGAGTCTGGGCCGCTCACGAAGAGAAACTTTCTGCATTCAAGTCCAGGCTGAAGTCCTTAAAGCTGATGAATCCTGATGCTTAAATTTTATACTGTTTTTGGCTGGGGAATAATTTTGTATCATTGTCATTTCGATTATCGTCACTTTATATCAGATTAACAATATTGAATGAAAATGATATCATTTCGTCTTTCATCATCTCTCTTGTTGAATTCTAATTCGGGACAATAAAAAGTAATACAAATGTCGTAAGCATAGTGTTAAGTTAGCATGAACTCGAAATTCTCTTTCTTATCACTTAGAATAATTCTAAAAAATTTCAGCCACCAGAGGTGTAGTGTTAACATGACGACATATAAAATAGGAAAATTAAACATTTATTCCCGCAATACACTCTGAATTGGCAACCCCCAGCCTGACTTGACTGGAGTTTGAGAGAGAAAGAGGAGACTACATGATTTACGGGAAGTATCTCTTAAGGAACTTCTTGTTAATTGGCATCATGAGTCTATCTCCTTTTTGATCGATGAGACGATAAGCTCCATTCGAATAAATTGATTCTATTACGAAGGGTCCTTCCCATTTGGGATTAAACTTCCCTTTGGTTTTGTGTGTCATCACCATGGGTCGTCTGACAGCTAAGACCAAATCGCCTTTCTTAAAAATTTGCTCTTTAACCTTTTTGTTGTAGGCTTTAGAAATTTGAGCTTGATACAACTCGATCTGTTACTGAGCTTGAAGTCGCTTGTCGTCTAAGGCTTCAAGTTCCTGAAGGCACAGTTGATATTTCTCTTCCTCTGTCATTCTAATTGTGATAGCGACTCTCAGGGAAGGGATCTGAATTTCTAACGGTAGCACAGCTTCGTAGCCTTATACCAAAGAGAATGGCGTAGCTTTTGTGGGGGTCCTCACCGTTGTGCGGTAGGCCCAGAGACATTCACTGAGTCTTTCGTCCTAATCACGTCGGCTCTTTGAAATAAACTTTTTGAGAAGCTTCACAATGGTCTTGTTAAAAGATTCTGCAATGCCATTTGCTTGCGGATAATATATCGTAGAGGCAACATTTTGGATTCTAAATTTATCACAAAATTTCTGAAATCCAAAGCTAATGAATTGTGTCCTGCTATTGTGAACTATTCGTCTCGGGACTCCAAAATGGTAGATGACGTGATGTTTGATGAATTTGATCACATTCGAAGTCTTGACTTTTTTTAGTGGGATTGCCTCCGCCCATTTGGAGAAGTAATCGGTTACAGCCAAAATAAACCGGTGTCCTTTGGAAGTCGGAGGAGAGATTGGTCCCACAATATCCATACCCTACACTTCGAACGGCCAAGACGCAGATGTGGGATGTAAGTTCCGTGGTGCTTGATGGATAAAGTCACTATGAATTTGACATGTGTGATAATGTTTAGCGTAGTCAACTGCGTCTGAGAACATTTTTGGCTAATAATAGCCAATTCGTCGGAGGTGATCTCCCAACTTAGCCTCAGGTTGATGGGCTTCGCACATTCCATCGTGAGCCTCCTTGAGAGCCTCCTTTGCTTCCTTTTGAGAAAGGCATTGAAGCAAAACTCCATCATGTGATTTATGATATAATGTTTGGGAAACCGTGTTGTAATAAAATCGGAGGGCCTTTCGTTTGATAGCGGCCTCTTCCTTAGAATTATCAGGAAAAATCCCATATAAGACATAATCGATATACGGGAATCGCCAATCCTTGGATTCAAGCTCCATAGAGGTTGTGCAGACTTCTCCTGCTATTGTCTTGTCTGAACTTTCCTCTATAGGAAGCTTGGAATGGTATAGCTTACGTCCCTTGATTGGAATCATTGTTTCAGCCCCAGGTGGCAATGCTAATGAAGTTGCCAACAAGGCTAAAGCATCTGCATAAGTATTCTGAGCTCGTGGAATATATCCAATGAAGAAACCTTCAAACTTCTTTGTTTGCTTTAACATAACGAGGTAGTACGGGATCAGATCCTCATGATGCACTTCATATTCCCCTTGGACTTGATTTAAGATGAGCTGAGAGTCACTATAAGCCTCGAGATGTCGAATGTTGAGCTCTTCTGCAAATTGCATTCCTAATACCAGAGCATCATATTCAGCTACATTGTTGGTGCAGGGCTCGATCAGGGAAAATCCTCTTGGGATCACGTGACTGTTTGGAGAAATGAATATGACTCCTACTCTTACGGTAATTGCTCCATGAGGGTTTGCTCTAGATGTACCGTCAAAGAATAATTTCCACATCTGCTTAACCTCTCAAGTTACGCAAGCTTCAGCAACCTCATCGGGCAACTCTTCATACAACTTAGACGTTCCTGGCACCGGGTGATCGGCTAAAAAGTCTGCCAACGCTTGGCCTTTAATAGCCTTCTGGGGCATAAATTGCATGTCATATTATGATAGAAGGATTGCTCATTTTGCTAGCCAGCAATTCAGGGACGACGGTTTTGTCATTAGGACTCTCAAAGGATTTACCTTAAAGATAACATGGATTGTTTGTCCAACCAGGTAGTGTCGCATCTTTTGGATGGTGAATACCAAAGCGAGACATTCTTTTTCAACTAAATTATACCAGTGTTCGGCTCCCATCATGGTCCTACTTAGGTAGTAAATTATCTGCTCATGTCCTTGGTCATTGTTCTAGGCTAATAAAGCTCCAAGAGAATGGTCCATGGCTCTCACATATAACAAGAATGGTTTTCCTGATATTGGGGCCACAAGAACCGGCGGTTGGGTGAGATATCTCTTAATTTCCTCAAATGCTCTTTGGCAGTCTCCATCCCAAACGAATGATACTCCCTTCTTCATGAGCTTAGAAAAAGGTTGGCATCGTCCTAAGAGATTAGATATGAATCTTCGGATGTAAGCCAATCTGCCTTGCAAGCCTCTAAGTTATTTGAGATTCTTCGAAGGCGATATGTCTTGGATAGCACGAACTTTCTCTGGATCAAGAGAAATTTGCTTAGATGTAACTATAAATCCTAAGAATTTTCCGCTCGATACTCCAAGGAATGATTTTGTCGAGTTCATCTTCAGCTGATATGCTCGCATGATATCGAACATTATCTTCAGGTTTGTAAGATGATCACCTTTATGTTGGCTTTTCACTGCTATGTCGTCAACGTAGCATTCAATCTTCTTACAGAGATGCTCATGAAAGATGGTATTCATTACATGTTGATAAGTTGCACCTGTGTTTTTTAAGCCAAATGGCATCACTGTGTAGCAATATACCCCCAATAGTGTTCTGAACGTAGTATGCTTTTTGTCTTCAGGATACATCTTGATTTGATTATATCCGGAGAATCCGTCCATAAAAGACATCCTTTCATATCTGCAAGTATTGTCAATCATGACATCAGTTATAGGAAGAGGAAACTCGTCTTTTGGACAAGCTGCTTTAAGGTCACGAAAGTCGATGCATATCCAGACCTTACCGTTCTTCTTGGGAACTGGGACAATGTTGGCTACCTAGTCCGGGTGTTGTTCCTCTCTGACAAAACCTGAGTCTATAAGCTTTTTAACTTCTGACTCAATTACTTCCATGATATTTGGACGGAACCGGCGTTGTTGTTGTTTAACGGGTTTTGCGTCCAGATCAATGTTGAGGCGATGCATGGCTACGTTTGGGTCAAGGCCAGGCATATCCTCATAACTCCAAGTGAAGACATCTATATATTCTCGGATCAGAGACATAAGGTCTTTTTTCTTGGATGGTGATAAGCTTTCACTTATGAAGATAGGCTTAGGGTCGGATTCATCTCTCATATTGACCTGGATCACTTTATCTTCAGTAGGTGGTTCACACTATTCGAAGCGCATATCCCACAAGATGTTAAGGTGTTTGATCCAGGGATCATTGATTGATTTGATTAACTCTTCGTCAGCCCCTACGTCTTCATCTAGATAACTAGTTGAAACCATGTTCACGGTCAAACTTCTAAAGAAAGGCCCGACGCTGACATCAGATTCCCATGATGATGTCCCAGATGAATGATCCTGACACAGATAGTTACTGGTTTCATTTTCTAAGATAGAAGAAGTTGTGATGTAGCCCACACCTCTTCCAGTCTTTTGATAATAATCCGAAGGTTTTCCTTCAGGGGTGAGAGACATTCGAATCAGTGTTCTCCTTCCTTTCCCGAAGTTTAAACCATGTTTTTTATTAAACTTGTATCCCATTCGTTTCATCAGATGTATAGAATTAGGTTCTTGATAATGGAATTGAGGGATCTTATTATCTTCTTCTGAACTTCCTCGTTTGAGTAATTCAGGTTTAACTTTACCAAAGTAGATCGGCTTGTGCCCTTTCCTTTTGGACGAGATTTTAAAAAAAGCCTTCTATGCATCTTCTACTTCTTCATCTGAAGCGAAGGATGACTTGATCAGTAATGTGAGGGGTGCCTCTACACACAATGTGTGCCATGGGTCGGTACCTACATTAAGATCATTCTCTATTTGTTTATTTTTAGAGGACACATCAGACAAGTATGTCAAAATAAAATCGTCATTAATGCACTACTCGCCCTCGCTTGGTACATTATTATTGTTCTCATCCTGACCCATTACATTTAAATTCAACTCCCATGGATAATCTTCTTCAGGGTCTGGCTCGACGTCGGCTTCATTACCACTGTCAACATCTTCTTTCTCCTGTGATTCTGAGTAGAAGACCAAATCAGTGTGGAAGTTTTCCACCCCTCTGAAAGGATACTTTTCCGCAATTAGTATTCGAACTTCCCCCTCATCATTAACATACTTCATGACCTGATGTAGGGTCGACGGGAAAATGCGGTTTGCTTGAATCCATGGTCGTCCTAACAATAGATTGTAGAACGTGTCAGCATCTATGATGTAACATGTCACCTCGGACTTAAGATCTCCGATTTGACACCTAAGCTTGATCTTCCCTAGGGGTCGAGTACTGTTGGCGTTGAAACCGAAGATAGTGGTCTGAGTGATGTTCAACCGATGCATGGGAATCCCTAAGACCTGCATGACCCTATAAGGCATGATGCTGAGTGTTGAGCCCGGGTCGGTCAACTTGAACACGGCTGGTTTCTGAGGATCCAATGTACCCTATGTAGTAAAAAGGTCTGTCATGCTTGTACTTTACCTGCATATCGTCCCGAGTGAATGATATGCATGGTAGACTTCTTGCTGCTTATAGACACTGTATACAAGACTGGTTTTCAGAAGCTTCAGGAATCGGGGTGACTTGGGTAATAAAACTCTCCGTGTTCTTCAATGCTTCAATTAGAGCTTCCTTTGTGGTTTTGGACAACCTCAGGAGCTCGTATAGGGTAATCCTAGCCGGTATATTGACCAATTGCGCCATGACGTTGAACTGGAAAGGAGCGCTTGATTTCCCAACTTCTTGAAGAAGATTCTTATTGTATCGGGTTTCCTTTTGTTTCCCTTTGTCAACTAACTTCTTAGGAACAGAACCCCCAGCATCTTGGTGTTGTTCTTCTGCTTCTTGAGCATTCTGATCGTAGTCTTTCAGGTAAGCTTTTCCTGATCGAGTGCCAGGATAGCCTCCCGGATATGCTGCAAGAACAATCCATTCTTCCTCTGAGTCGGTGAGAGGTTTGAGATGATCATCATTCTTATTTACGGAGGGACTAATCATGTTAGATGATTTAGTCTTGCCTCTTTTCTTTTTGGACGAGGTGTTCGTCCACTGTTGGTCTTCAACCAGATTAGGATGGACCCACATGATCTTCCCTTTTGGGGTAGTGAGGGGTACCAACCCCCTACTTTTCTGACTATGTAAGTCAGTATTTTTCATGTGCATTTTCCCTTTGTGGATAGGGATAATACCGTCTGTAGCTGCTATTGGAAGGAAATCACCGAATTGGACCGCTATCAAGTTAGTGGATACGGTCTTCTGTTCGGCCTTTAGTGCGAGCACGTTAGCATTTACCAGATTTTGTAAAATGTCTTTGAAGATATAGCATTTTATAGTAGGATGTCCCAAGAACCTATGATAACAACAGTAATTAGGATCATCCACCTTTCCTGCTTCATCTGGTTTTCTGATCTTAAGGAGTTGCAGTTTGTTGTTCTTCCGAAGTAGTTGGAACAGGGTGTCCACATGCTCTTCTTTGAACGAGTATTGCTTGGGCACTCTTTGTTGGTTCGGTGCTTTGCCTTGCTTCACAGGTGGTGCACGCGTGTTGGTGTCGGCAGCTAAAGTCTCCTTTCCCTTGGAGAGCGGAGCATTGTTCTAGTTACGTTACTGTTGTAGCTTGGGTTGAGTAACTTCTCCAGCCTTAACCCGAGCAATGATTTCTTTAGCTTGTTCTCCTTACGAAACCAGTTATCTCCAGGAGCGGCATTCCGCTACCTCCATTTGAGCAAAGAGCTGGGTCTGTAAATTGTGCCTGCAAGTTTCAACCAAGGTCGATTGGGTAATACCTGACGGGCATCGTAATGCCATACTACGGAATCTTTCAATATAAGTCTTGATGGACTCTCCTTTCCTCTGCTTGGTGGCGAGGAGAGTTGGGACTGAGACTTCTATATCATCTTCGAAAAACCTGGCCAAGAAAAGCCTTTCTAGATCTATCTATTTTTTAATAGATCCAGCAGGCAGCTTCATGAACCACTCGAAAGCAACACCCTTAAGGGTGCCAATGAACAAACGGGTCAGAATGGCATCGTTTGCTACCACATCTTATATCTGTGACTTGAAATAGTAGATGTGTTGGTTCAGTGATCTTGTGCCATCGAAGGACTGTAAGGTTAGAGCCTTAAATTTTGGTGGATAGGGAGTTGTGTCCTATTCAGCGGGATAAGGCCGTACTACCCCTTCCTCA